ATCGCGTTCAATGGAACCGGTTGACTTGTGGTGGAGATGGTGAGAGTGTCGCCAAGAGAAGTAGGGGACGAAGAGGAATGAATGTAAGGTGAAGCCGACGGCATGATTAAGCCACGATTGATTCGCGAGAACACCGTGACCAGCCTGTGAGCGGTACAGAAGGTTCGCAGGGAGGAATATAAAACGGCAACAGTGGTCAGCAAGCCCTCGATAATGCATGCGCAAGGTAATCAACCCACCTCATGGCCCAGTGTCCACATCCCAGCCCAGGCAATTCCAGCAGAATACCAGTAAAGTGACCACAAACTCCATTTGACCCCAAATCTCACCCAGTGACCTTGCTCGAGTGAATCAGCGAATGGATCGATATAGGTAGCAAGTTTCTGCTCGCAAAAAGAGGAATCGATGTTCGGTGTCAGTGTATGTCGTCATCGATTGCGCAGGCCGAAGGAAGAGAGGCTCACATAAAAGAGGAGGGAGAAGAAGATGTCCCGAGCGACGTATGAGAGGCCCTTGAGGGTGCTCTTTTCGTACGCATCCTTTGGAATCGCCTCATGTATTTGCTTCAAGGTGATGGTGGGGATACGGTAGTCCTTCCTCAAACGTTCCTTGTATCTAACAGGTTGTGCATGTGGTCAGGACACAACGTGTTAGAACAGGGCGGAGGGACTTACTCTGGGCCATCGTAGAAGGGATTGTATTGCTTGAGCGTCATGGAGGAGGGGTAAGAAAGGACCGCGATATGTGTGAAGAAAGAAGAGAAGGCTTAAGAGGAAGAGCGAAATGACCATGGCTGTGGGAGGGTGGACAGTCTTTTATAAAGAGCAGGCGATTAAATTCCATAAATCCAAGGGGCTTGAATCAGCGAATATTGATTGCGGTGCATGTGGTGAGGGAATGAACAGGGTCACAAGTGATGGTTGAGGGAATTCTAAGCGATGTCGGGATTGGGTACCGTCGATTGTCCGTCTGCCTGGACCCGAAAGAGGCGTTCACTGATCCCCCATGTAACCATGCATAAAATATCCCAACCCTGCATCTTTCACGAGAAAGGGATGATAAAGTGAATGAGGGAAATAAATTTTAATGTGAGGGAAAAATTAAACTTTTGACTTACATTATTAGAAAGTGCAAGGTCCGTGATCACTACACGGCCAAGAAACAGCGAAATGACGAGATCCGACCGGCTCATACAACGCATCGACAAAGAATGAACGTCTGCTGTTGCAGAATAGCACTCGAGCATAGCCACCAGTGCCGCTTGCAGTCATGCCGTGACCGTCACAGCTTGACGTTGGGTTCACTCTTGAACGCCAGCATCTACTAGTTATTTGACTTTTTGATAACAAGGCGGCGCTGCACAGGAAACACAGACCGCTGGGCCAATGGTATTCTTTATTTTCTGATGTGAATCATGGGGAAACTTGTCGCCGGCCACTCTTACATGGAATCCCATTTACATAATCATGCTCCTACAATTCTGAATCCTCGTTCCCTCACTTCGACTGACGCTTGGTGCACACTTTAGCACGACACGGAGCACCTCTATGCTCAACTTCTTTCACTCAGGCGTGTCGGTTTGATCCGAAGGACCAGTTGAAGGAAACAACTGAGCATTGTCACTGTGAACCTGTGCTCGTCATTCCCACGATCCTACAAACGACCAACTCTCACGTCTGCTTTGGAAGTTGGCGGTAAGCTACTTCCGGTCCTAGTTCACAAACACAACCCACTTTTAGTTCAACCTCTGTCTAACATCACGTCTCAACGGATTTTGACCGCTCGTACTAGCGACCCCTAGCTGACTACTCCGCCATGGGTGCTTTCTTATCCTTCCTTAGATGGCTCTTCACGGATCCTGTTCCGAACCGAGGCGCCCCAGTTCTCTACCTTTCTGATGAGCCTACCTATACCGTTCGTAAACGACATTCCCCATACTCTGACTTGGACCAGAAGCCACTAAAGAAGGATGGAAGCGGCGAAAGGGAAACACAAGTCGTCAGTATGAGAGGGTTCTTTGCAACTCGGTGTCCTAGCTTCTTAAGACCGTACAAACCCACTTGGTGGCTTCCCAAGTAAGTGTTTACCCCAATGCCAACCTAAACCTCCGAAACCCATTTCTCGGGCCGTAGTGGTCACTTTCAAACGATCTGGTGTTCTCTGGGTGATTTCTCCACTGTTGATCCAGTCCAATACACTCGTACCCTCCTACGCGTTCCGGATGGAGGTACAATCGGCCTTGACTGGGTCGAACAACCGATTACGCCTGCAGAGGACAAGCCTTTGCCGGACGATACCCCCATAGTAGTTATTTTGCACGGTTTGACGGGCGGATCGTACGAGAGCTATGTAAGGGCTATATTAGCTAAGACTTCCGCACCAGTGGAGCAAGGTGGACTTGGGTATCGGGGAGTGGTGATGAATTTCCGTGGATGTGAGTCTTTATTTTATGACAGAGAGGTTGTAATGGTGCTGAAAGCCGGACGTTCAAGGCGCGGGTGTGAAGCTCACTTCACCGCAAATGTTCTCTGGTGGCCATACAGAAGATATCCGCACTTCGCTCCTATACATCCAATCGCTCTACCCCAAGGCCCCCCTTCTCGGCATTGGATTTTCCCTAGGTGCTAATGTCCTCACGAGATACGTTAGTGAGGAAGGAGAGCAGTGCCGCCTGACCGCTGCATGTGTCATGGCCTGTCCGTGGGACAACCTCAAGAATAGTGACAAGTCAGTTCCCCTCAGTCCTTTGCCAATATTGCAATTGATTGAGCCATGCTTTCCACTTCTCCCCAAACCTTAGACTCGAGAAGAGGTTCATCAACCGCGCGATCTATTCGAAGGCTATGGGTGGTACCCTTCTTGAGCTTTTCAACCGTAACGCAGTGGAACTTTCTGCATTCCCCGAGCCATCCGCTATCACACCCCACTTGCCAATTCTTCTCTCTCTCAAGTCGCCAGACTTCATAACCGTCAATAGTCACCTCACTAGCATTGTAGGCGGTTCTTTCCCACCCTTTCCGTTCCCAACAGTACAAGATTATTACGTCTGGAGTAGCGCACATGAATGTTTAGAGACGATTAGGATTCCATTTTTGACGATGAATGCATTGGACGATCCGATCGTCGCGGAAATTCCCCTTCACAAGGCAGGACTAAGTCCCTGGGTGGGAATGTGTACTACTAAGAATGGTGGACATCTGGGTTGGTTCCAAGGGGGTGGGTTCCTTGGCAGAGGCGGACCACCAGAAAAATGGAACGTGCAGCCTGTGGCGGAATGGTGTCAGGCGATTGCGGAAGATTTCGTGGATACGAGGTTGGAGGAAGGAAAGAATAGGAAGGAGACGTATCATGATGGTGAATGGGTTAGGGAGAAGGGGAGCAGTAAGTTCGTTGGGTATAAGGTCATCGAGGTTGGAAGAGAAGTCCCAATTATCCAGCCCACCGGGCAGACTTGGGCTGGGCTCTAGATCATCATAAAATTTTGGATACAATCATGTACGGATAATTCGTTTAGCCACTTAATGCATGGAATAACTCCCGCGTTAGTTCGAACAAACAGAACATGCTGAATTTGTGATGGTTTACCGCTGTCGAAGCCCTACGATAACTGAGCTAATTCACTAGTCCCTTCTGATCGGCGCTCGTCGGCGACCTGGCGGCTGGTGGCTGGGGAACCTCATTCGGATCGGGTGGATCAGTGTCGGGGAATGGATTAAGGTATTGAGCAAGTTGTCAGGGATTGATGATGTACGTTATCGCTACTACAAATGAGTCTGACATGACGTTCAAGCAGTTTTATCAGTCCATCAGAATTCAGAAAGGCACAATCGGTATGCACTGAAGATGGACTATTCGCTCAACTGCTTCCTCCGCTGGCGAGGATACAATCTTTTTGTATGGGCATGGGCGGCGAACGTACGTAGATCGCAGCTCCCCCGACACTGGGACGCGAAAAGCATAGTACAAGCATGTGCCCAAAATTAGAAAGCCAGTAAGCGAGCATGGAAACCCAACGCCGAGATAAGACTTGTAAACGACCTCTGATGAGGTGTACTGAAAAGAAGCTAGAATTGATAGGGCTAGTAATCTGTTGCCAGCGACAATTTCGGGCACCGATATCACGGAAATGAGGTTCAATGGAGTCTCAGGGACATGGCTCCATTGCGTTGATCCATCATGAGAAGGTGTCACCCTGATATTCTAAGGAAGAATTGGCGTGTTATTGACGGAGGGGAAGATGGACGGTCCAATCTGCATGAACAAAGGAGATTCAGAGGCGAAATTAAATACCTATATCCAATGACTTGGTTCCTTGTGATAATCTAGTGGCCATAACCACGCTGAACTGGCTCCCCGTTGGCGGGGAGGTGCATCCACACCCCGGCAGACCGAAGTACAATTGGCAGGGACGCAATCGGAGCATGTTACCCATCCCGTCAGTCATGATGAGATCAACTCACAAATAGCGCTAGTCAGTTATGTGAATCGGTCGCGAATGTTGTGCTGCCAGTAGCTCGTGCTTTCTCGAGCTGTGTGGGGAGCCTGAGAGCAAGCTGGTCATTAATATAATTCGGACAACCCCGCTACACGACAAGCCAAGGTCGGCAATTATTAAATGTGCTGTCACGTTAATTTGTATTGTACTCGCACCGTTTTCGGTCATTACAGTAGGCTTACCTTTCAAGTTCGTTCCAAAACGTTGAGCTAATTCACTCAACCTCATTTGCAAGTGGCTTAAGCTCATATGGTACTCTGATCCAACGATCACCCACACTGCAGTCTGCTTGAGCATGATCTGCAATTGGTTGCATTCATATTTCATGTAACCACGGAACTGCACGTCGGAGACGTTGTACTTACTCCGAAATGAACCGGATGCTCCTTCCGGTAGAGATACTGTCTATTCAGCCGAGTGGCGTGAACTTTACGGCCCTATCAGATCGTTGCAAAATGCAATTCATTTACCCAAGCAGTTGGCATGTGCATGCGACAGTGCTGCATGAGACGTCCTTTATATAGGATATGTCGAACCTCCCTGGCTAACCCTAGATCTCCTTTAATTGCCTCTCTGGGTACCCAGTCTCTTATACGTCTTGTCCACCCCGTCCTTCACTAAGTCACCATGAGTATCTTTGAGGATGGCCCCGAGTGAGCAGATTTGATTGACGAGGACTGGACCTTGGCGACTCACAGTTTTGTTGTCACCAGATACAAGAAGCGACTAGAGACCGAGTATGCCTTGCCGAAGGTCACTCTGAAAGACATACACGCCGCTATTCCAAAGCACTTGTGGAAGAAGAGCATCCTTAAAGGCATTGCATGGACTCTGCGTGATGTCGCACTTTGCACGGCCTTCTACCAGGTAAACTCGTGTTTCGCCATTCCACGGTGTCAGGACTTTGCTCATCTGCATGGGTTTTGGATCCGTTTTCTGTCACTTTCTCAGGCTGCCAAGTTCATAGACCCTATCGCGGAATCTTTGTCTGCGCAGAACTACAACGCTGCTCTTGTCTTCACCATTAAATGGGGCCTTTGGTCCACATACTGGTGGTTCCAGGGCTTAACAGGCGGTGCTCTCTTCTGTATCGGTCATGATGCTGGGCACGGCACACTTTCTGATTACCAAATCGCCAATCACACGATCGGTTTCATTGTCCACACCTTCATTTTAACCCCTTATTGGTCGTGGAGGCACTCTCACCACCTTCATCGTGAGTCGTTTTTGGGGGTACCTGCCAGTGGTATCGGGTTCATTGATTTGCATATGCAAATAGACAAATCCACTGGATCAATGGAGCGCGATGAAAACTATGTACCCAAGACCCGCTCAGAGCTCAAGATGGCGGATGAGAAGACGATGAAGCGCAAGGACTATGCCGAGATTTTCGAGGAGACTCCTCTGTGGACCTTGACACGGATGGTCATCATGCAAACCATCGGCTGGAACTTATACCTCACCTACAACACCCTCGGCTCTCCCGTGTACCCTGAAGGAACAAACCACTGGTTCCCGTCCTCTCCCTCTTCCGAAAGTCCGATCGTGTCCCCATCATCTTTACCAACGTATTGCTCGCCACTTGGGCCTCCTTCCTCGCCCTTTGGACATACAACACCTCGGTTTCCACCTTTGTGAAGTACTACTTCATTCCATATATCTGGACTAACCATTGGATCGTCATGTTCACCTACCTTCACCACACCGATCCCACAATGCCCCACTTCCGCAGGGACACCTGGACTTTCCTGCGCGGTGCGGCCACGACGATCGATCGTCCCCTTATGGGATGGCAGGGACGTTTCTTCTTGCACAACATCTCGCATGACCACGTCGCACATCATTTCTTCAGCAGCATTCCTTTCTGGAACGGCCCCGAGCTTACGAAGCATGTCCGAAAGGCTCTTGGTGACGATTATAACAGTGATTCGACTAACACCTGGAGGGCTTTGTACCGTAGCTTTGTCAACTGCGAGGTAGAGTAGAATTCTTAATCCTTTTCGAGGAAGCGCTAACTTGATCAACCATACTAGTTCGTCGAAGATGAAGGCGACATTATCATGTGGAAGAACCGCCAAGGCGAGCAGCTTCGTAGGGTTGCGGCTGATCCCACTGGTGCCTCCGACGAGTAGAAATTTCCGCGCGTCTGTATGATTTATTCCCATCGCATAACTCACGTCGTATCGCACAAAATCGGAACTCCCTACCATAACGCACAATTAGTTGCTTGTATTTTCCCGAAATGAAAATATTTACGTCGTAATCGTCACACTACCCACTCATCTCAGCTTGAGTCTCACGACAGAGTGTGGTGAGACTCAGACCGGCGACCAAATGGGGATGTGTTGCATGTATTCCCAAGCCTCAAGTTCCAGGTATCACTCAAGTGCGTCGTGGGGACGACTTGATAAATTTGAATAGCACTCGAAGCTGCTCACAATCAGCCCCTTCTACTATCATCTTCAGCGTGAGAAATTTTGCGAGCCGAAAGTCACTCATTGGTCACTCGATCATGGATCAGTCCTGGATGGGCCCCCAGCCCCTAAATTGGGGGACCTTTGTGCCGTACCGCTGCATACGGTTTGTCCTAGCGTCAGCCACCAGTTTTTCCTACTTTCCTCTGCCTCGCTCACTTTGCCGAAACCCACTTCCGCCCATCATTGTTTCGTGTTGGTGTACGTTCGGGACCAACCTATATTCATACTACTGCTGTGATTTACATAACGATTGGATGGATTAAAGCCGTCACGGCCCCTAAGGATCAACAAAGCTTCGATCAATCAAAATACGAATCAGCTCAACTCAACCTCGACGAGAACTGGTAGCTAGGTTTTTACGGTAGAACCGAGTCACAACTTTGGCACCCGAAAAAGACTTGCCAGCCACGTTCACTGATGCAGCACTGCCTGACCATATAGGATCTCGCCTTACATTCACCGCTTGAGATCGGGCGGCTACTATAAATTGACGAACGTGCCGCGATTTTCCGCGTTCCTACTGCGTCGTGTGGCTGAGTCCCTGCCTTGAATCATTTGTTCAGGGATACATCATACGATGCTGTTGATTAACAGGGGGGGCCGCCATTTCTTAGACATGGTATGATGGTTCCCCAACAAAGGTTTGGTATCACGGATGAAAAGTGGAGGCACCATGTTCCGTGCGCGTGAACGAGGGGTACATGCGCGCCAATTCGCAGTTTGACTCCTCACGACATGCATATGGCTGTCGTGCCTTCATTGTGCAATGGGCCCTGGCTGCCTTGGTCCGTGCGTGTTTGGGTATCCAAACACCGAGGGAAATGGAGAAATTCAGGGTTGGCACTGCCAGCTATTGCACAGGATCCGAACCCTGGCTGCGTACGCACAGCCCCCGCAGATCTTCTCCAGCGGTCTTATGTCGAACCGGCAACTGACCCGGAGAGAGGATATCTCTGCGCTGGGCTGCGGGACTACTTTTGATTGATGGAAGACTGTTGTATGTGACTGCGCCACAACTTATGTAACACTTCACGCAACCGCTCTGCACCCATGTTACGAAACGGTTTGTGTTCGCTTGCCCGGATTTTCCACGGAGATGCCTCTTTTAGGCGATCAAAAATCCTTATGCCTTCGCAAGCCGTCATGCGAGTGGCGGACCCAAAAGTTGATAGATAACCGTCTCGATCCAACCCACATGGCATATGTAGATGGGGGATAAAACAAGATTATTATACAGGATATTCTAGTTGTGGAGGGAATCCCGCCTACTGTGACCGATCAGCCTCAGCGGACTGGTCACCACTCAAAGGCACCTCTATTGTACCAGCAATTTTCCTCGCAGCCTCTCCTTTCTTGTTCTTCCACATAATAATGTCCCCGTCATCCTCCACAAACTCGCACTGGGTGAAGCTCCTGTACAAGGCCCTAAACGTATTCGTACTGTCCCCATTGTAGTCACTTCCCATCGCCTTACGGACATGTTCGCTTAATTCAGGACCATTCCAAAACGGAATCCCGCTGAAGAAGTGGTGAGCCACGTGGTCGTGGGAGATGTTATGGAGGAAGAAACGGCCCATCCAGCCAAGCAAGGGGCGATCAACGGTTGTAACTGCGCCACGAAGGAATGTCCAAGTGTCTTTGCGGAAGTGAGGCATCGTAGGATCGGTATGATGGAGGAAAGTGAACATGACGATCCAGTGATTGGTGAAGAGGTAAGGGATGAAGTAGTATTTTACGAAAGTGGAAATGGATGTGTTGTACGTCCAGAGACCCAAAATGGAGATCCATGTGAAAAGGAGCGTGTTAGTGAAGAGGATTGGGACGCGGTCTGATTTTTTGAAGAGCGCTGAAGAAGGGGACCAGTGCTACGGGAAGTACTAAATAAGCCCCGCTTGGGGTGACCCCAAAGAAGCAGAAAGACTCACATTTGTTCCTGGAGGATACATCGGTGAGCCGAGGGTGTTGTATGTAAGGTACAACTGCCATCCCATCAACTGCATGACCAGCATTCGACCCAAAGTCCAAATCGGGGTCTCTCCGAAGATTTCTTCGTAATCTGCTCTCTTCATCATATCCCCAGATGCCATTTTCAGCTCAGACCTTGTCTTCGGTACGTAATTCTCATCACGTTCCATTGAGCCTGTTGTCTTGTGATGTAGGTGGTGAGAATGCCTCCATGCCCAGTAGGGTGCGAGGATGAAAGTGTGCGCAATGTAGCCAATGGTATGGTTGATGAGCTGGTAGTCGGAGAGAGTCCCATGGCCCGCGTCGTGGCCAATGCAAAAGATCCCCCCGCCAACTAGCGATTGGAAAAACCAATAGGTGGACCATAGTGTCCATTTAAGTAAGGAAAGCGTAAAGGGATGAAAGCGAGTGCTAGTGGAGAGGTAGGTAATAGAAGGATCGATGAACTTGGCTAGCTATAAGAAGTGATCGCATCATGGATGAGCTGTGTCCATTAAGGGGGAAATTGTGAGCAGTACCTGATAGAGTGAATAGCAAAAGAAAGCATCTCGCAATGCGTAGCGGACGCCCTTTAATGTATTTTTTTGTGGAGGTGTTTTGGGACCGCATTATGTATGTCCTTGAGTGTCACCGCAGGCAGCTCATACGGTTTGGAGAGGCGAGCCTTATACCTGGATAATGGACCAAAGCAACAAATCCCAGAAGTCAGTGGACAGGCCGGCGATTCAGAGCTGCTGCTTGAGCCTCGTGTGTTTCTACTCACTCGGGTCCGTCTTCGAAAAGGGAGGGCATGAGTCGTCTTATTGCGCAGTCAGACTCTGGTGAGCACGGAAGATAGGAAGGACGCTGACAGGGTGGAGAGGGATAACGGGCTATAGTTGTCTCATTATAAAGGTAGATTAAAAGTAGATTTCCACGGAGCCAAGAGTGTATAATGCGTATTCCATCTTTGAGGCGAGTCAATTAAGTTTTTTCGACGCAGAATTCAACAATATTCGCTGTGCAGCATCTAATTCGTTTATTCTCTGGGAGAAGGATGTTACGGAACTGGCGAGTTTGTCGGCTGTGCGAAGCCAATGCGGTGGATCAAGGTTGTAAAGCCATCGTACATTACATAATCGTGGTGTCGACAGAACGGATGTATCCTTCGGATCCAAGATTTGATTACGGAATCAACTCTAGAAAAAAATCGTTCTTGGGGTTAGGCAACTTTATTTTGTCGAAAAGGCGAACAACGTTAGCTAGATTTACAAGTTACATAACGGTGTTTAGCTTTGCTGTGATCCGTTCAGTTCAGGAGAGCCGGATCACCAGTGACAACATAAGCACGGTTACGACAATACACTCCTTGGGGTTACTCTTTACATGGTCGAACTAATGGCCGGTGTCTGTCCTCCATCCCGCGCTATCATCAAGATCCCTGGTACGTGGAACCTTTCGGGGCGTAGCAATTTCACATGCGAGAACGGGATGTCATTCAAAACGATGGCATTGATCAGCCGTGAGCGCTTGAACCTAATGCAGCATCATTCTAAGAGCTCGCCTGACGTGACAGTGATGAATCGTATTTCTGTTACTACCCACGAGGTTGATTGTTTTCATGCGGCTGCTGGCTGATATGTTTGCTCCGCCACGGCAACGGCTTTCTCAAATTTTTGGGAGGTTTTTTATGCCCCGATCAAGCCGCCGAATCACCCCTTTCGGTTTGTCGCTTCCTTTTGAATGCTGGCCCTTTACCACAGTAGGTGGCAGTGTTGGCCTCACTCCTCAGCTATCACGGGCTCGCTTCTCCTTGGCGAGTAGGGATGTCGTTGTTCTGCACATTTGATATGTTGGAATGAGAATCCTCGCCAACTGGTGTCGAACTACCACGCCACTTCTACCCTCATGAATTCCTGTTTGATTGCCGTGTGCGAGCTCAAGTGTGAGCGATGATGCACAACGATGCCGTGATGGTGACCATCAAGTAGAAACCATGAGAAAGGGCTGTCATCCTGAAGAGAGGCTGCAGTGACGTTTGGCTCCAGGATTTGGACTTTATGTTCCGCCGATAGCGCTCTTGATAAATCACTCACAACTGTGTTCACACAGCTGTGCGTTGGTGAATTGATAAAAGGGATGCCCTTGATGGAAGTCTCGAGCAACATCCCCGCTTGCCTCGTGGCTTCTGAACAGAATAAAGGGCAACACCATCGTGGGGTTGGTTCTTCACATGTTTTGGCTGTGCACAACAGCCGGAACTTTGCCCGGCCGCCCGCTTCTATTTAGGTGGCTGGACGGTTTGAGCCAAAAGTAGATGATCTTCTGCCGCTCATCTCTCAACATGGGGACGCGGCATGTGTGTGTGCATGTGGCAGTCCCACTTTACGCCATGCTGACCTCTGTCCGCATTTCAGGGCATCGGTCTTCACCCGTACCGCAGCTGTTGGCCCCGATGCCTCCAACACCGTTTCCTTCGCGGAGATCGCGGTGTGTGAAAACTCTTAGTGATGAGGCATCCCTGGTCGTGCATGAAATCATTTCTGCCCAAGGCCACTTGAAGATGTTCTGCAATGCATCCCAATGACCCGCAGTAGAATGCAATCGTTCAATTTCGTCTGCCTAGAAGCAACAAGGTTTGTGCAAACATTTGAAGGTCGCGTAACGAGGACAGCTAGCATGACCGTAGATGTGGGACCACTTCATGACACCCGTATTGCCTCCGGCCAATGATGCGGTGGAAAGAATGATAAGTTCTCAAAACTGGATGCTAATTTCTGTGAATGCGTACTCCGGACAATGCAGAAAGATATTCAGGAAGAGAACTCGCATCTGCCCCATGTCAGTTGATACCTCCGGTGGATCATGCGGCCAACGTGGCAACCGGGAATTGGAGCTAGGTGCCGTGCGGACTCTGTCAGATGACATACCTGGTACTGTCTGTCACTAGATCTAACTCGGTGGAAGTTAGCACGGAATATTGACGCAATGAATTTCCTGTTCAAGTTAGCGCAAAATATTAGATTTGCTCATGCTCCTAATCGACACAACAGAGGCGGCTATAGTTGACAAACGTGCTGATCTGGATGCCTTGGTCCGAAGAAGCATCAGAATGAAGATGTGCAAGCCAAAAAACCAGTATACACTTCTACGCGGAGCGATTTCGACCGGCTCTGATGCGAGAACAGAAAGAAATATGTTACCCCGCTGCAATATTTTCCACCAGTCGTTCCCCTGAATGAATGGGTCTGGGTCCCGTTGGCTATCAACTAATCTCTGCATGAAGAATGGATTGTGTACAGCGTCCAAATATACAAAAGAAACAGGGGTAGCAGACAGAGAGGATGTGACTTCACGCGTCCCGCGAATGTTGAAATCTTGGTTTTCTTGGGAGTTATAGTGCGCTGTGGCCAACTCACAATGTGATGTTGAGCTAGCGGCGCTATATTTCCTTTCTTGGTATTCCTGCTACCAAAGTCAGTGCGCCATTGAGGCGACTGCTTATAAAAGCAGTGAACAATTTTTCACTTTCGTCTCCCTCAGTTCAACAACGATTGACTGAGGTGAGACTACGCTTTTACCACATGTTTGTGTTGTCACTCATGTATCTTCATATGCCCTAGCGTAAAACGCTAGGTAATTAGTTCTAATCTATAAGTTCAACAACGATTGACTGAGCGTAAAACGCTAGCGTAAATCGCTAACATCCTAATAGCGAAGGAGCCCGAATAGTCTGAGGCCCAGTGGTTATACTAGCAGGCTTTCTCTTGCAGCTAAAGGGTAGCAACGAGGTGCTGGCGTGTAGGAAGTTAAATCTGTCAGCTTGGAACACCAAATGGAGCGTGACAAGTGGCCAGACTTGGGAGATTATGTAATCAATTCGAATCCCTTCAGCCCTTTACACTGCGGGGGTGCCTTTAATGCGAAGTGCTGAGTTTCTTTTGTCCGTCTTTCGGTGCTGTGACCGTCCCACTCTCGTATCATGTTCAATCGTGTGCAAGATATGGAATGCTGTTGCCATTATGGGAAACTTGAGATGATGACGCTCCTTGAAGGCGGTGGCATTGTGAGTTAACGCGCACTTCGCCCTTACATCTCGACCAGGCCGAAGGAGCATCATGGAATCCGAAAACTTTCCAGAAATAGAACTGTCTCTTTAATGGATCGAGACCTTCGCCATTCACGTTGGGCGACAGTGGGTATATGTCACCGGAATTCATGAAGGGATTTGATATAGTAGTTCCATTCGTGCCCCGACCTTGTGTGCCGTGTTTTTCAAATCTGACGTTTGATGTCCATGGTGAAGTTACGGAATCTCTCTCTCTCGTTCTACGATATCACACTGGGTAGATATGCCGCTTTCCTCTTTCAAACATTGCCTCAACTCACTAGCGATACAGATGTGTTCTTCCTCTCCGATGCGTTGCCCCAACTTCGACGTTTGATGTCATTCACCAGTGATTGGCACATCATCCTCAATGCTCCTAGCTGGCTCAATTGCCGAAATTCGGCATTTTTGCCCACTCCAGACAATGGAAGCACAAAGAATTTTCCACAAGTTTAGTCAACTTTGTCGCTCACTCCATTCTCTGCTCTAGAAAGGGCACACATGTCCATGCCATATGGCTCTGCTTCTGCTGCGTTTGCGGTCGCAGGGATGAAGAATCTAAGCTGCACATCTTAGATGATGCATCGGACAACATATTTCAATTCCTCTTCCAGGCAATCCCCGACCACCGTGATAACCTTGAGACTTTAGCTGCATGTCTCCCTCGTTTGAGTCCCTCATTTCACGATATGAACCAATTCACTGCCCCGTCTACAACCTTTTCTCTTCGCACATACCCGCCACTTATTATCTCAAACCAAGAACTCATAGATTTCGCTAAACGGCATTCCCCCTTACGCAATTAAAGTTGACACATTATGTTCTTGATACGAAAGTGGCCTGTATGGGAGGCCCAAAGGTTACGTAAGGCAAGTTGAAGTGGAGCTGTACCTAGCCTGATACTCGCGCTCGCCCTCAATGACTCCTGCCAGTTGGAGTAGTATGTCGGTCCCAGTGATCAAATGACCGTTCAGTGCCAGGGACCTACTTGAGCACGAGCGAGCCCACTCATTGTCAGATTTGCGCGCGCCCCTTGCTAGTCGTCTAGGTTCCATATCATTGTTGCAACTGAAAGGCCACTGGGTGTACAGGGAGTGATGCAATGATGATTGCTTACGGGACTGGATGTATGTGAGACGACAGTGAGTGGTTCTCTCTGGATCAAGGACGGCGGGCACCATCACAACTGAACATGCAAAACGAAGTCTCTCTTGTGGAAGCTCAATCTACGGGCTTATACAAGCATAGGGGCGTCGGACATCTCCCTCACTCGATATCTATCTGGTAATGAATATGCATGACTATAGCGTTTAGTTGAAGAACCAAGTCACAGCCGGTCGACTCTTCAGACGAGACACTAGTTCCCGAACAGTTGATTGGGTGTGGACTGTATATTTATTTGCTGGAAATACACGAAGCGGGCAGCGGAGATTTCGGAATTCCGGGTTCTCGAGTCCGAGACAGTAATCTTGTTGCATGTGCCTCTATGGCCGTCTTCAGTAACGCCTGGCAGATACACAAGCGAGGCTCACGGTTGGAGCACGGAAGTCGGCAAAAATTAAATCGATGAGATTCAGTTCATGTCCTCAAACCCACGATGGTTTTAACGTCATTAGCGCTCAATCTCCATACAATACCCGAACCACTATAAAATTCATCTGCATCCTCTTCCTTGAAATTCGCGGAGAAACCATTCAATTCCCGGTATGGAATGAAAGAGATGAACTCACCTCATCTAGGTTCAAAATCGTCGAGATCTGTTGGAGTCGTTGGAACTTTTCCCGGCCGTCACCGAACTCTGCCAGAGTGCTTAGATAGCCTGATACGGAACGGAGATCACGATCGAAGCGGAGAGCCCCCAACTGTGCCAGCCGGTAATTGCCCATGTTTAGACGGACAACGATAAAGATGAGGGTACAAACCTCCGAAAATCTCATGGTTAATATCTGTTTTTCCCAATGGCGAGTAAGGACTTCTACAGTGAGGAGGAAGAATTGATGGTAATTCGCTCCCGTCAATGTGTCCTAAGGAACAATTTTTCCCCCCATAATGCGGAATCTGGAAAAGGCTTACCTGGAAGCCATCAAGTAAAGCGCCCCATAGTCTGGCAAAGCGTTTCCGAACCACATCATTGTATTCTGCAGCAGTATGTGCGTCCTGGTCAAGGTTGTATGAAACGTCTTTGTAAATGTCGGCAACGAATTGGCGTAATTTGGGTCGGATGAGTTGGTTGAACAGCTGCTCAATCCCAGCCTGAATATCGGTTGGGAGGTGTCAGTCCTGATGTGACGCCCGACACAGAGTGTGCATACATGGAGAACAGATTTGAACGTCCCGGTTATGCCAAGGAGGGATGACACTGTTTTCTGAGCAGTTTCTACCTCAATGTCAAGATAGCTTTGAGTGATGAGTGTAGATGAAATAAGGTTCCGAACAAGCGTCTCTGTATGACTCGTGGATATTGATAAGTCATTTAACAGAATCTGCAATATTTGACGATCAGAAAGAGTAAAACGAGAATGGAACAAATTGCCCACCATGAACGCAATTCGGTTTTCTTTCTCCGCTTTCTCGGTCTTCGCTGAAGTGGACCCCGGCTTGCTGGTGTAAACTTCATCCATTTTTGTTTTGATTATTGCCGAATAGTCCCTTTCCAGAGTCGCTTTCACCATCAACAATAAATCCTTCAGATGGCTCAACGTCCCTAAACTTATCATTCTGGTCAGAACCGCTTTGAGGACGTAGAAAACATCATCCGGTGTCGTGTTCTGTGGAGGGGTGGCCGAAGAGTCGATGGCAGAAAGACGATGTGATTTGTCAATGATGGCACGGAGATACCAGGATTCGAGCGGGAGATAATAAGTTGACACGGTTTTATCGAAAATGGAGGCAGATTTTGTAGCTTGAAGGATGGTTAGAATATCAGATGATGTAACACTAGACCTCGAGCCGTTTTTATCGGAGGGAGATTGCGCCTCCGTGTCCTTTCACAGATGTAAGGAGAGGGTCGGACACAAAGATGAATTATGGACTCACTTTGAGACGCTCATAAAGGAAATGATGGAAAAGACTCCACCGTCCAACCATGCCGGACAGTTCGGATAGGAATTGGTCAATTTCACGTGGATCAGCAGATTCGACCTCTATTGTCGCAGCCACCTGCCTTCTTTGAGCGCCAGTGACGAGGCTGGGGAAGTGTGTATTCATTGTATCTTGAAGCTATGCAGTGAACATCCATCAGTATATTCCATGTCCATCGCTGAGATCGAACGGAGACGAGCCTTCCTTCTGGCTTGTCGATCTTCCTCCCAGTTTTCAACCAATCCCACAACGGCTCTATCAGACTCCCCCAGAAGTCGCTCAATGACTAATCGCATCTTGCTGTCTCCGTAGTATTTTTCGACTACAGGCTGGTGCTGAGAAACAATAATGGCAATGCTTTCGAACAGCGAAGTGAGGGAAGAGACATAATGCATGGGCGAAGAAGCTGGTCGGAAAAATGTTTGACTATGTCATTGGCAAGAGAAGCATAGACTAACTCTTTCCTGATGATATCGGTCTGCTCCTCACCAGGTCGACTACAAAATCTGAATATGCCGCTAGGCCCTCTTTTTCCCAACCAATAGTAGGGAATAGTTTAAAGAACCGAGTTATCCCGGCTGAATCTCTGGCCGCAACGGCTCGCTCAAAGTTATCCCGGAAAGTGTGCAGGAGATAGTTCCGCGCTTCCGACAATGTCTCTATCGGAGGAAGATGCGATTCGGCACTCGGCTACTGAGACCACATTATCAACCTCGGAAAAGATCAAGAACCAAAGGGACTCACCACAGTCGCATCTGTGAAACGGCCACAGATAATGTCTTCGGGTATAGACATGGCCCGCGAACAGTGTCTTGAGGCGGATTCCCAATCTCTGGACTCCATAGCGGAGCGGAGATATTCCAAGGACGACTGGGCGCAAAATAGTAAGCGATGAAAGCGCAATTTGACGAATGAGGCCAACTTTCAGATCCAGAACTAGCCCTACACGCTCCAAAGCCTCGCGTATCCTTCTCATTTCTTCGTCGAGGGCTTGCACTTTGCCTCTTACCCGTTCAGCAGTCTTGGCGGTAACCCCCACTTTTTCGGAAACATTGACGGCCTCAACACGAAGGCCATGGATCTGCGGCTTCAACGAGCTCAGGCGAGCCAAAGACATCTTCAGCGGCTCTTGAGCTTCTAGCAAAGCAGAGAGACCAGAAGAGAGCGCCGACTCTTCCGATTGTATTCTAGAGAGCGCAGAGAGCAGTTCTGGAAGAGTTCTGAGTTCACGGGCTACGAGGCGAGAACCACCAGTAGCTAGTTCCGCCTCCATTTCAGCTTTCTGTGCAGTCCTTTCAGTCGCGTCCCCGGCGCAAACATATGTCTACAATCCATCAAAATACCAAAAACTGAATCACAGTCCCTTGTTACCGTTTGTAGAGGAAATATTCGTTTCCTTTCTTTCCATCGTGTCTCCGAGCGTGCACTACAAAGAGCATTCACCCTCTGCTCACAGATCGTGCCTTTTCTTTCTTTCCTTTATTTTGCATTTAAGGACAGGTGTCTCACTTGACCCGTTCTGGTCCGGATGTCCGTCTTTCGCAAGCCATCGCTCCAAGTCTCGCCTCCAGACGAGCCATCTTTCCTCCCATCAGCCGAAAAAGATCAGAGTTGGATAAGTCGAACCTTAAAACGCGCTTCTTCCTCCAATAATCAAAATCCGCCTGCTCATGACCACCTCAGTGCTCGCGACCTCGCAACACGAAACGCGAGTGCTTCTTCGTTGTCCAGCTTAGCCGTTGCAGGTGGGGCAGATTTTCAACCGCCCCCAACGCCTCGCGCTCCTGGCACTATCAGCAGTAAACACACCCCTCGCAGTCACCGAGAGAGCACCACGAGCTCTGCTTTCCTTTCTGTTTCGCCAGCACATGGGCCACCGAACTCAAGTCCAACACTGCCTTTGGCGAGTCTATATCTTGTGTCAGGCCTTCCCAAGTCACCGCAAACGTGGACCCTTGCCGATACCGATTCAATTCAGGGTGTACATCATTGCGAAGGTAATTTTTCCATGTGCTTCCATGCATGATGATATTCCGAACTTAATAAGAAATGGAATGACCTACAGGCGCTGTAGGACGCTTCTGGCGCGCAGAAGTTCTGGGAAGTAGCGTTACCCCTGGACTTGGGGGAAAGAAGAAACGCCGCGGGAAAGGGGTGGGCGAAGATGGGACAAGACGTCTTGGGATGCTCACTAAGACAGATCTTGGCAAAATGCTCTCTAAATCTCTCAAACTATCTTTTACCCGTGAGGTTGAGATCATTGCCAGTACCCTTCAGCCACCTTCCACGGTCCATACGTTCACCTTTCAGCTCCCTGGATCGTCGGACGAGCCCTCCACGACGAGCAATGGAATCCTCCGTACTTCCATGTTAAGCACCACTACCAACGGGGAGCGTTCAATGCACGGAAATAGTCCGTACCTAGATCCTGCTTTTCCCCGACCGTCTTCAACCTACCTTGGCCCCTCAAATACCTTTACATCAGCAGCAGCGGCTTCGGACGCATCTTCTAGTGCAATAACTTACTATGGTGTCTGCCTTACTGTTTGGTCGCACGCAGATGAGGACCGTTCCGCCGCAATCCGAAAAACTCTCGAAGAGGCTGCGCGACACAGAAGTGGCCCGGGGGGGGCCAGGTCACCGAAAGTATCCAGTGTGTCAACAGACACAGAAGCAGGGGGGAAAGGCAGCGGTGGAAGGAGGAAAAAGCCGAATCCATGGAGCGCCACTGAGGCCGAAGACAGTGAGCTTGGCAGCGATATTGATGGCATCACAGGTCTGGCCGCACCAGGGGAGAATCCTGGGGCTTCAACACTGTTCTTGCCTCCTAACACAGTGTTCTGGCTACCTTATGCGCTGAGTGGGTATAACTATTGTTGTCGACGTGAACCAATCACCAATGGGACTTGATTTCAAGCGCTTGTATCAAGGCATCCCATCTATGATTTGATGAGAGATTATCTTACTCTCTCATGGGCGCGCTTCAGTAAAGACGTCCAATCACATACTCTGTATGTTGCCTTCCTCATCCCTCCTTGGCGGAATATTCACATCCGGTTTCAGTCAGATTTCCAAAATATTAGAGTATCCTGCCCCCCGGGCGGGCGAGATGGTTAAGATAGATGCTGGTGTCGCAGGCGAGACACTGGAAGTTGTATGTCGATTCCCTGGAGGACTGGATTTTGGAAGGGGATTGGTTGACGTCAATGTAACAGATCTTTTATTCTTGGCCACGCTGAACAGCTGACATGCTTCCATAAGTTCACTATGTGGCCCTTGTTCCGGTGCTTAAACCTGGATAATATCCTTACCATCTGCGAGGTGTGTTCTTTGTTTTGCATTGGTGCTACTTATTCATTTTGTTTCTTGCCTTCAGCTGGCGCTGGCTCCAACCGGGCGTATACTGTTCCTTTCTAGACACTTAGCTATGCTTGGTGTACGTTTGCGTTTCCAAGCGAGTTTAAGAACGTCATTCACATCTACTCTCAGATTGCTGTCTGCACTATCAAATACTTGTGCGAATTACGGGGATGGAATGGTGTTTCAATGCCCACAGTGTATGTTATCACCATTTTTCACCAACATCCCAAGATTCAGCTGTAATGCTTGATAACCCGCTATGCAGGCACGCTCGTGATGCGAAAATCTACCTTGAGGCATGTTCAAATGCATTGGTTAGAGCGTACAATTAATATCCCAACTATCTAGGATCCTGGCCCATGGATCATTGGCATGCCGACTGAAACCCGGTACATTACTACCATCTTACCTGAAGTCTGTGTTTGCGATCTGTGAGTTATGTAATTGGATCAATGTGGGTTGGGGTTCCTCATAATACTCTGCACAACAGAGATATCAATTACGTGTAAGCTCATCAGTAGGGACTTTTTCACTGACATTGACAATGACTGTGCCGTTCGCAGCAATTGCTCGGCTCCTCCTCTGGGTGTCGTTTCAGTGAGGGCTCAGCGTGACAAGTCCCGTCGCACACTGATGGCGGCTTTCAATTCCTACTTCCACCCGGACCACTCTATTCCCAGGTAGCTGACACTCAATCATACGTTTAAGTATCCAACATCGCCTCATATCCGTGTTCTCTAGTGAATTTAAAGAGGCATTTCCGGCTGGGCGATTCCGCCCCCTTTGCAAGATCACCACGAAGAAAGGCAATACCTCAACGCCTGTCGCCGAGATCATTCGTGCGCCCGATTGGTGGCACCAGACCAGAGTGGTGCAAGCCTTCGATGCGGTCCTTCGAGACAAGGTGAGACGGGAGGTACTTCGACCACGCACTTAAGACTCAAGCCTGTTCATCGACCTCAGTATAAGAAGCCCAGCTTGTTTAAACGTTTAATGATGCTGGGCCAAGTCAAACCTCCGAGCAGTCTCACTCCTGCAGAACGCTTTATTCAGTCTTCCATCCGCAAACGTGCATCAGCATTCGTCGACGCTCGCGACGATCTTGAGACGAAGATTGGTCGTCTCTCACGGCGGCTCAACTTCCTCATGACAGAGTCTGAGCTCTGGAGGCAAAAATTTGTTAGCTTTGAAGAGTATGCTGAGGCTTTAAGCTCAGAAGCCGCAGAGCTGCGTGCGAAAATTAATAAGGAGCAAAGAGAGAGCAAACGGTTGAGTGCTCAGGTAACCATTACTTCCCAGGAAAAGGAAGTGCTGAAGCAGAGTAGGCATCTATTCCGTCGTCCCGTCGAGTTTAGACTTCTTACATCACATTCTATTGCAGAGTTGGCTCAAACTGAGGCTGAGCACAACCAGGCTCTGATAGAGCTGGAGCGTATGCGTGAGGAAATGGAGGAAATGGAACGCGAACGTTCGCAAATGATTGCTGAGGTCGAGGCACAAATTGAGCGAGCTCTCGTGTCCATCGCCTTCAGTGATGGCAACTCCGATCTTTCCGACCTGGTCATATCGCGCCCTGGTTCAGCTATGTCCTCCCATCGTTCCGATTCTCGTCCGAGCTCAAGGAATGGTGGAGGGCCAGAAACGGGGAGCAGCCACAACCACACCCTTCGCTCGTTCGGCACTGCGACGACACTCGCGGAAGAACAAGCTATGGCGCTTGTTGAATCGCATCCCAATGGTGGCGACTCCACTGTGACTATAGGGCCTGTTAGGGAGGTGACCGACAAGAGATCTCCCACAGCTCTCTCCGAGAAGGCTCTGAGAAGGTTCTCGGTGACGAAACGGGACCACAGTGATGCGCTTGGTGGGATGGATAGAAGCATATCAGAGCGTAGTGACGCCGTTGCTCAGAGAATGCTCCAGATTCAGCGCAAGGTGCAGTTTTCACCACAGCTAATGTCATCATTAGATGCTGACCTGCTCATATCAGCTGGATGCTGTCCGAGAAGCTAAGTACTATCGCACCGAGTCTGTCTCTAGTGCAAGGACAAGCTTAGAGGAGAGCGGTTCGCAAAAGGGCCCCGTTAGCAGGGCTTCTCGTGTCAGGTCTCCGCTTCTTCAACGCGCGTCGTCGATCAAGGAGTCGCCTGCCGAAACTCCGATCCAGTCCACGCCAAAGCTGGTTCAGCAAGAAAAGCCTACTTCTCCAGTTAATCCCAGCACACCCCAGCCACCTATCGCCCCTAATGTCGATACCACCCCCCGTATGAGCGTTAGTTTGGCAAACGGTACAAAACACGTCAGAGGATCGGCGTCTGTCTCACGCAAGCGGGCTTCAGTGCCCCCTTCATCCTATGCCTTCACAACAGATGACTCAGATGACTACCAAAGTGCCCTGGACCACTCAACGTATGAGTCTGATGGTGTCGACGAGGATAATGGCTCGCCCACCCAAGTTGTACCCGAGGATTATAGTAAAGGAGTCCCTGGTGCATACGCAGACGAAACCCCTCGTGAATCTTTGGAACGCGGGACCAAGGTTTTGGAGGAACAGCATTCCCAGCAGAACCTCAAAGCCGGATTTTTAGGGACCCGTGCTAGAGCATCGAGCGTTGCCACAAGTGCCGCTACCGAGAGGCCGAGGTTTTGACTTAGAGGGAACGTATCAACCTTTTCAATTCCAATTCACAGCTCTTCTACAGTGATTCGGACCAATAATTATTATGTATTCGTTTTAAACACTTTATTTTTTGTATATACTCTGGGTCCACCTTCGTCTTATGCTAATTTCTAGGTTTCATTGTAATTATGGTCCCTCACTCGTGGCCAACGACAAAGTCCCTCCAGTTACACAAGAGTCTCAGCTTAGGAAGGGAACTTGTTATTTGTTATGCCCTATCCGTGCGCGTGCATTGCGGCACTGGCTTTGTGGGTGGTTCGCTCGTCAAAGTGAATCCACACGGGCAAGTCAGGGGTAGCTCCGGGATATCAGATATTTAGTACTAGGGGTGCCGTGGTTCTCAGAGAACCGGTTCGAACCGGGACCGAACCGAGAACCGAACCATGCTGGAACCGAACCGTGGTTCGGTTTTGACCCAGTTCTCTGATGGTTCGGTTTTGGTTCTCTAAGTTAGGGGGAAAATGTGAACCGGTTCTGAACCGAACCGAACCATAGAACCGTAGGAATGTTGTCATGCTCCAAACCTTACTAGTATCTTATGTCACACAAATGAAAAATGAGAGCGTGCGCATCATTGTGAGTCGCGCCATTCATCTCCCAGAGTGTTGATTGTCACAGACTATTACCAGTTTCTTGAGTATCATTCCATATATGCAACCCGGTCTGCTGCCTTCAATACAACTGGAAAAAACCAGGGCGAGGGTGTATATGCGCTGCCAGTTGCCACTTCAGCTGATGAAGTTTCTGGTCTCTCTCGCCGTCTTGCAGCCAGCCAAGCTTGACGGGCTCAGGAAGTATCAAGCGATGATCCTTGTGGGGAACTTGAATGCTATCTCAACGACCCACTTGAACTGCCTGGAAAGGACATCCTCGACTTTTGGATGGTGAGCGGCACCAGTATTTTGTCTCAACTATGCTTTAACTTCGAACTTATCTATACTAATTTTCAGAAAAAAGGCGCTACATATCCTGTCTTAGCCTCCATCGCCCGAGATCTGCTCTCGGTCCCAGCATCCTCTATTCCATGTGAAAGGGCATTTTCTGCCGCTAAACACAGTGACACTGACAGTCGGAACGAGCATCTCGGGGCTATTCAAATCGCGAAGGCCGATATGCAGCGTAACTACTTCAAGGAGAGGGAGGCAAGGAAGGCATTAGACGCAGCAAAGGTCCGAGAGTGGCAGGGTTATGACGCAAATCTCATGATAGAACGCGCAGAGCGGGTGGGCCTCATTATGGACACTTAGAATGTTCCGCCGAAAATATAATATTTCATTGAAATTATCACATTTAACAAAGTTGGTTCGAACCGTTCCAGAACCGAACCGAACCGCAAGAGAACCAAATAATGGTTCGGTTCGGTTCACATACTGGTTCGGTTCTGGTTCGGCATTATCATCAAATTTCGAACCAGTTCCGGTTCCAGTTCTCAAAAAATCGCTCCAGAACCGAACCAAACCGAACCGTGGCACCCCTATTTAGTACCGTCCTTTGCCAGTGGAGCACACAGGGCGGGGGCGCAGCTGAAGCATACATATATGCTCGACCCGGATACAGATAGACACAAGGTAAATAAGCACAAAGACCAAGTTTTGAGTGGCGAGTGTCAGGGACAAATAAACAATCGGACTATGAACAATGGGCAATCCTTTGATTTGTCAAATCACGTGGGACAATTTTGTTACTGTAATCGCTACCCAAATATAATCACACGCTTTGAGAGTCGGGCTTCCCGCGTCCACTTGGCCAGTCATGGCGTCGCTCTTTAGGCGTGCGGGCTCCGCTTCGGATGATGAGGGCCCACGTCAGAGGAAATCGGTACGCGTTTTGCGTTTCATCGAGCATGTTCGGCTACCTCTGATCACTTTCTTCAGCTCGCTTCCTCGAAGGAAATTGGTGACCGATTAGCTCGTATACTACGCTCGACACGTTCCCACTCGCATCTCGAATCCACTCCAGCGCTACCCCCTCTTGAGATGCCTCCGGATACTCTTGACCTTACTAGTGATTGGTCACCCAGTAGATCACCTCCTACAACCTCTCCTTTCAGTGCGTCCCCACGATTTCAGGCAGTTGTTCCCACAAGTCCACTTGAGGATTCTGCGCTTTCACACTCCCCTCCTTTTCAATCCCCGTTATCAACTAGTGTAGCATCAGACATGGAGTTATCAAAACACGCCCCCTCTTCTGTTACGAAGTCTCTCCCCACCATTTCCATTGAATCAACATCGCACAATGTCACTCGCAGGCAATCCAAGATTGGATGGTCTACTTCAATCGCTGAAAGGCTACGTTCCTTGCCCTCCAAACCTGTCCCCACTGGTTACATGAGTACAACCGATGGCATGGATACGGAGACGGAATGGGATGATGCCGCGTTCTTTTCTAGTCACTCGCAGCCGCGTCTACTCGACATATCTTCTGATCATTTGTTTTCGTCCGAAGATGACAGAGTACAACCTCGGACCTGGACTGCCGCTGAGAAGGGCAAAGGCCGTGCAGAACCCTTGGGGTTCCCAAGTACTCGTCCACACACCGCGTCCAATGCCAGTTCTGCGTCTTCCGGGGCTCCACCCTCGAGCTTTCTTCCTGGGAGCACCACCCCACCACCGCCGGTCCCACCGCTTCCCCCACAATTTCAGTCAAGTGCGGCAGTTAAAGACCAAACGAAGACCTTATTCGTAGACACGAAGCGAACTTCACTTGAGGAAATACCTCAAGGGGAGGATTTTGTTATCGCGATTGTTGGCCCACCGAAGTGCGGGAAGAGTCAGTTCGTCTGGAAAGGGCTCAAATGTTGGGGCTTGGAGTATGAACCAGCAGCTACGCAGTTTGGAGCAACAACTAGTGCGTATTAGGTTGCCCCATCATCTAGCTTTTTTAACCCGATATTTCAAACCATAGCTCTTACTCGCAAAGCATGGATAGTGGCGAAGCGGCAAGAATCCGAACTTCGGACTCGCTTCCGGGGAGTTTTCCTGGAGGTGGACTCCCAACAGCTTGTCAGGCCGGACACGCGGGAAGCGATCGAACACGATACCGGGCAGTGGGCTTGGCCCGAACCGCTTTCAAAGATTGACGCGGTGGTGATATGCTACGATGGTAGCGATATTGATAGTTATCGTGAGATTGTCGATCTCTGCGGTGAGTTGGGATGTTGCCTATCAGTTTGTGGTGTGGACACTCAGGCTCCTTGACGATTTTTAGAAGCGTATCATCGCTTGCAAATTCCGGCCGTGCAAGTTCATCTCAAGTCGGATTTGCCGTTCCAGGTGAACCCTTACCTATCTCATCGTTGTGCCAACCATTATTCCACGGGATTAGCGAAGGTGTCAACAGAGACCGAAGAGGGTAAGCAACGATGCCGTGACGTCTTTCAATGGCTCTTCAAGTGCATACTCAAACAAAGCGAGTAAATCCCCTTGATCTCTGCAGCGCTATCTAATGTCCCCCCTCTCTTCCTTACCAGGAGAAGGCCGATTGCCGTATGGAAACAGCGAGTATTGGAGAAATCCTGCATCTCCTGAAATGCTCTCTCCAAGAACGTGGGAGTTTGCCGAGCATGAACCTCCCTCGCCTCCTGCCGCTCATCTCCCTTCGCTTCCTCCCTCTCGTACTCACACGCCGACAAATGACACCTTGATCCATTTAAGTGGCGAGAAGGAGAACACTCTCGATGCAATGCCCGCGGCACCTCCAAATCAGTTTCCTGAGCTAGTTGGTCCTGAGCCGAAGAAAACTGTCCCTAGTCCTTACATGGGTAGACGGCCAAGTGTGGTTCGATTCACTGGTGTTGATGAGGACGATTTGGAGAGGCCTTTGACACCCCCCGATTTTAACCGCGTTGCAACCCCCCCTGTGGTCACTTCTGGTACCGATACCACTCCTAAGATTACTGTGGTCGACGAGGCGCCCTCGGGCGATGAAGTAAGTAAGCCACTGAAGCAGAAGCCACTGTTGCCGCCCCCACCAGAATTGTCCCCTGTTGACAAGGCAATCCGTGACGCTCAATTGGCAAAGTGCGTAAGCTAGCTATTTTTTTCTTTGCCACTGACAGCGCTCCCGGGATAGGAAGCGAAATAATCCCCAGTTGTTTGGTACTTTTGATACGATTATCAACAAGCTTATTCATGTTTGTGTGACCCTTGACAGTTAGTTCCGTTTCTAGCCACGTTGTGACCACAGCGTTGATTGAATTTGTCTAGATACTGAATTTATCAACACTTTCCTCATCACTTATCGACAATTTGCTACGCCGCGTAAAGTTCTTGCGGCCCTTCGCAAGAGGTTGGCAGTCCTCGCCCTTGAACAAGTGGAAATACCACTGGCACATTTCACTGAGCTGAAGTCAGTTTGACAACATCCATTTTGAGCCGTTCGACCTGATGTTCGTCTTTTCAGAATTGCGGGTTTCATTGAACGATGGCTCAACGAGCACCCAAACGACTTCTCCAGCAAACGCACAAATCTTGAGCTCATGACAATCCTTCGAATGATGGTTAAGCGGACGCATTTGTTACATTATGCAACCGATTTGCTCCCCGTTGCGAAGCGTGTCGCAAGGATAGAAGATGACCCGGATGCGGCGTGGACCATTGCAGAATCAGAGGAAGAAACTATGACTGAGGCAGAGGGACCTCGCAAAGCTGGACGTCATGTCAAGAAGAAGAGGTCGACAAGGCAGAAGGCCCATGGTATCCGAGTAGCCGTCTCTACTACTACGACAGTGAGGGAAGTTGACGAGTCGGGACCCGCTGAGACCACGGCACAGCGAGACGATGGGTCAAAGGCACAGTTGCCTGTGCCGCCCACGTCTCCTACGGAAGACCGCAAAATTGCGGTTACGATCTTACCTTCGTCTCTGACGAATCAGAAGGTACCGAAGCGCAGTCGATCGACGCTAGCACTTTCGTACCTAGACTCTTTCCGGTCTCCATCGAGGAAGACCATCAACCCGCTGCCGTTGGATGCTGACCCTAAGACTATGCTCAGGGAATTGAATAAAGCTGTGGACATTTTTCTGAAGATGAGTTCTCCAGAGGTTGCGGAGCAGATTACGAGGGACCTTCTACCGATTTACCTTTCAGTTACCGTGGGCGACCTGTCATTCCATCTTAACGAGTGAGGTGCTAACATTTCCCCCAGCCCCGGGACTGGTTGCGGCACGTTTACAGGTCACAACGAAAAGAAGAAGTTGTTCAACCCACTGTTCTCGAAAAAATTGCGTCTGCCGTCGCTCACAGGTTCTACTATTGGTTCGCTATTATTAACCTAAATAATTTTTCAGTACGCACTGACACCTGCCTAATCCCAGGGTACTCTCGATGATCATTGCCCCTGATGGCTATAACAAACGTGCCAAAGTGGCAGAACACTTCATTCATGTTGCCGACGCACTTCGCAAGCACAACAATTACTTTTCTCTTCACTTTGTCATCAATGCAATTCGACAGGCTGTCCCTGATCAGGGAGTTTTGTACCAGAAGTTGGTGGACGTGGAGGAATCGCCATGGAAGCGCTTCCTTTCGATGGAAGTACTTGTTTCAGCTTTTGGAGGGTCGAAAGCGTATAAGCTTGCACTTCAAAATTCGTCGGGCCCAGTTCTTGTGGACCTGTGAGTTTTCTCTGAATACTTCAGGATCATCCGTCTGACGAAAATTGGGCTAAGGTCATCGCATACCAAGTGGGCAGCTGGAGTTACTGAGAACATGTCAGCGTACAAGCCTGACAACAAGGCTAAGATAAACTGGTCCAAATATGAGTCTCAGGCCAAGATTATCCGAGCAGTCGTGGCGTACCAGAAACGCTTTGATACTTGCGATAGTCATGCCTTCCCTGAACGGTCACTTATCAGGCATGTATTGGATGACACTCCAATTTTGCCTCGTGAGGTATGTATTCTAGATCTCAAGCAGTTAATGATGCTGACTATGATCATGGCAGGTCATCATGAGGCGGATCCTACCAAAGACTCCAGAAGACGGCAGCGAGCATCCAACGTCCCACAAGTTCAGGAAATTCCTTGGCCTTCACGAACCCACTGACTCGCCTTCAGCTTAGCACACCGCTACCTGCGTGCACCCCACACTTTGTCTCTGCTTCACTCATCCTCTCGTCGTCTTTCCAAATTGATTTGCGTTCCGCGCTACACACCCACTTGGCAACCCCCTACGTTCGCTTGATTTATGATTCTATTTTCGTAAACTCCAGTATACCCATTGTAGCTCCTCCCTCGTGTTTCCCCTGTGCAGTCCAACTTGTTTTCTCCCTTCGTGTCTCCGTACCATTACATTTGTGGCTGATGATGTCTCCTGTTTCAACATGTATCTAACCATCTAAGGACAACAACTCGTGTACAGACCATTTGTGAGTGGACTAATACATTCACTGGAATGGTTGCTTTGCAACCATGACCACCTTGGATACCCAATATCTAGGCCTCTCAGGATGTTTGAAGAGGCCTTGTATGTGATCGTTGAAAGAGGGTGGCCAAACTCTGCTTTCTCCACTATGCTTGATCCTAAAACTCCATGGTGGGTTCTCCGGGATTTCTGCAAGGTCCGGGCTCAGTGTCCACTACCCACTTGTTGTGAGCTAGACAGTTGCCCTTATTCCTACTGTTGGAATTGCACTGACCAGTTGATGGTCAACTCCTTATATACATGAAAATCAGGCTAAGACATGTGAGATGAAACAGGAGAAATGGACCAGACATCCAAGTCATACAGGTAGTCGCAAAGCTACAGGGTGATGACCATTGGGGGAGTTGGAGGGGATTGCGGAAACTGGAGGCTCCAAGGTTAGTGAGGAAGGAGCAGAGGCGATCCAGAAGGACCAGAGGTGATGGAAGGTGATGGCCATGGATGGATATGTGTAAGGGATTAACCTTACTTCACTATAATTCCGATTATAGTGATGCTGTTCTTTCATTATTTATTTGTGCCGAGATATGTAATTTACATATATATACCTCAGAGTAGTTGTAAAGGCCCGGTAGCCTTTTACCTCTACCCCATTGAATATACAGCACATTTAAGCTTATATTTAGACGGACTAACTGAGGCCTGAGGCGAACGGGGGAACGGAACATTACCGTCCCCAAATAAGTAAGCAACCTTTCAATATGACACCTCCACTGTACTTGCTGCCAGTACACTCCCAGGAGTGCCAAGTTACTGTTGGCCAACCCACAGGTTATACATTCAGACACTCTTCCCCTTCCACTCCCTCTGATGGCTATGCAGCCACCTCTGCCTGTGAGCAGAACAGCTCAGGTTGGGTTCCCTGGAACCCATTCCTGTAACACCAGCCCTGGGGCATTTTATATCCATAAAATATGCAGAAATTTTTCGTTCTGTCCTGCCTTTCAAGTCCTACTGCTCATTATCGCTCTTGCCAGTCACATTGCTTCATGGCCTGAGGAAACCATCGTGCTGTTAGCAATATAGATACCAATTTAGGAAATTTTGTTTGCACAGCCACTGGAATCCACCCAAATAGTGTGACACTGGACTTTTGAACTGCTTGTCAGGGTTCAGCACCCTGCCCTAGGGCACCCCAGACTCCCCAACCACTCCCTTCCTCCCATTCCTTCATTGTTGCCCTGTTGTTGCTTCTGTGTGTTGTGTATCCACATGCATGGGATAGCATGGGAACTTTCTGAGTGAGCAGCTCACCCAGAAACCCACACTCTGGGCACTGCCATCTGGATGTTCCCTCTGGGTCACACTACACAACTCTAGGAGCTGTATAGTTGTGGGCATGTGACCCATTCCTTTATATAGCAACCATGCAGGGAGATGAGACCTTTACCCTTCTTCTCATCTCATGCCCTGCATAGTGTGAGGACAGGCCAGATGGGGGTTGAGGTCAGGGAGCCTCCAAGTCTGAGGCTGGGCCCTGACACTGCTATACTTGTGTGATGTGTGACAAATTTTCAAAAAGTACCAGACTGGTTGCCCTGCATGATGTGTGACTGGTTGTTGGTCATTGTCATATCCATCTATGGCCATCATCCTCCATTACCTCCAATCCTTCCGGACTACCTCCGCTCCTTCTTCACTAACCTCAGAGCCCCTGTATTCCGCAATCACCTCCGACTCCCTTGATGGTCACCACCCCCTCTTTTCAATATATTACCTACGCCTCCCTAAGTATGGAGCCCCAAAGGCCTCCAGACAGCTCCGACGTCCGCTGGCACACTCCTGCCCCTGCTGGGCAATTCACTTGCTTGCCCTGCAAGTCTACCTTTGGGCCTATCCCTCCTTTCCATTTCTGGGTTATAGCCTGCTACTCCGCTAACCCCATAACCCGACTCATTGGTAATATTCAATCAGCTAATGTTTAACTCCATTAGCTCTGCTCCACTCAGTCCCACCATTCACGGGCCCACCCTCGCTGTAACTATATATACTCAACTTGTACATAGGTTACACCCCAGTGATAAAATCGACTAGAGTTGATCCCCCTTTTTAGTTCTCACTGCCAGTAAGTAAATTAGGGCACAGATGTGTAACTAGGCACAGCGCTCCTGGTCTGAGTCACTGAGGCTGAAGCCCTCCACCATGGAGACAACTCCTTCGTCTCGCTTCTGGTCTCTAACAGTATTTTATCACTCCCTGACAAGTTGTTGGGGCAATAGCCCCGAACCCCGAGCCATATGTAATTAAAGATACATATAGTCACATGGGTAAGCGGGAACCTCTGGTCAACTGCTCACACACCACCGCAAAATACACACCATTGTATCACTTATGGCTCTGTGTGCTGAGCTACCCACTGAGACCTCACACAAGTACACGTCTTGTATGGCACCCAAAGCCCCTCACACTTGTTTGCAACTATGCACATTGGTTCCTAACTCCACCTCACCGTCCCCTGAACCCTCGCAGCCTGGTCCTAGTCATCTGGCGAGAAACCCAGTTGAGTTTCGCAGCTTCTCTAATTTAGAAACCCCTCTCCCATCGACTCCGATCATGTGTCCCATTAGAAATCGATCACCAGTTGCAGATTCCGACTTCGGAGACACCACGGAACATCCCATAGATCCAGTCCACTTCTTTGGACTTGGTTCTGAGGTCCCCAACTTCATCGACCCTTCTCCTGCTGATCCTCCCATCCCTACTGTCCCAGCCACCGATGATGCCGAGCCCATCCCCAACGTAGCTATCACACAGCTAGCCCAGGCCATCGCCAGTTTGGTGTCAGGGCACATACCCTGACTTAGCCCGGACCCGGACCCGCATCCGGACCTGCTCCACTTCCTGCACACTTCCTGCACTGCATGCTCCGCACGCCGCATGATCTGACCCCGGATCCCACCTCATGTGACTTCCGGGTATCCCCGGAAGTTTTTGCCATATTGGGGCCACTGTGGGAAAGTGAGAAGTTAACCTTCTTCTCACTTTCTTACCCACAGTAGTGTCATATCCATTCCCGGCCATCGACTTCCGGGCTCTCCGACCCCTCCGTTCTAACTCCGCTCCCCCCTCACCAACCTCGGAGCCCCCGTATTCCGCAAACCTCCCGGTACCCCTCGATGGTCACCACCCCCTCATTTCAATTTATTACCTACGCCTCCCTAAGTACGGAGCCCCGAAGACTTCCGGACAGCTCCGACGTCCGCTAGCGCACTCCCGCCTCCGCTGGGCAATACACTCGCCTGCCCTGCAGAGTCCACCTTCGGGCTTATCCCTCCTTTCCGTTTCTGGGTTAACGCCTGCCTTTCCGCTAACCCCGCGAACCGACTCGTCGGTAATATTCAGTCGGCTGATGTCTTAACCCCGTTAGCTCCGCTCCGTCCGGCTCCGCCAATTGCGGAACCGCCTCCGCTGTAACCATATATATACACTACTTGTACATAGGTTACGCCCCAGCAAATAAATCAACTAGAGTTACCCCCACTAGGTTCTAAGTGCCAGTCAGTAAGTTAGGGCACGGACGTGTCACTAGGCACAGCGCTCCTGGCAGAAGTCGCTGAGGCCAAAGCCCTCCGTTACGGAGACATTCCTTCGTCTTAAAATCTGGTCTCTGACAGTACAAGCTGTTATCTATTTTATATATGTTTGAAATGGAATGAATGGCATGGGGGAATGTAAACGGGCCGTTAGGCAACCGTAAATGATGAATATCCAATTGGGAACAAAGAAACAATAAAAGAAAAATGAATGAATGGGGAATATGTGATAACGGGTCCGAAATGGAAATTGTGAAGGTTAACTCCGCAACACTTCGCCACAGCGCCCGCCTATCCTCCCGTCAGCAATCTCCTCGTCTCCAGCTTTCCAACGAACCCTCATTCATCCCAATTGGTGCAGTACTTCTTGAGATGTGGCCATTGACAGGTGCTGTCAAGACCATGTGAGACTATACTCCATGCTGAACCATCTGGGTATGGGGTTGCCATTCTGGGAAGTGCTCTGGGGGTAAAGGAGGAAGGTATAGCATCACCAACGGGTAGAAAAATGGCTGGGTTGTATGTGTGGTTATGGAGATCTGGAGAGGGGGTGAAATTGGCAGCGTGGTTGGGCATGGGAATTTGGCTTGGGGCTGTCAGGAATGATGGGGAAAATAAAGAAAAATATGGAGTGAGTGTATGGAGTGTTGGATAGTGATAGAATGAGTATCAGGAGCGTCAGTGGATATGTAGTGCGTGTTGGTGACCAAATTCCGCAGAATCCGACTTTTTGCGGTACACGGAGTTGTCCCCACAACAACGCCCACCTCCACCATCCTCCACTCTCTGGACCAAGGTCCATGAGCCTGAACAGTTCGATGGAAAAGATCCCCGTGAACTCCGAGTATTTCTGGTCCAGTGTGAACTGAACTTCCAGGACCACCCCCTTGCTTTCACTAGCAACCGCGCCAAGGTCATCTTCACACAGTCCTACCTCAAGGGGATGGCTCTTGATTGGTTTGAGCTGGACCTGCTGTTCGACCAAAATTCTGTACTTTGTCCTCATTGGATGAATAACTACCAGGAGTTCATCAACAAACTTCAGACCCACTTCGGTCCTCATGATCCTGTGGGCAACGCCAAAGTCCAACTTATGAACCTGGATATGAAGGACGGGCACCACATCAACAAGTACATCGTTGAGTTCAATTGACATGCTTCTCAACTTCATGGTTATGGAGAAGCCGCGCTCCGCTGTTTTTTCTATAATGGATTGCCGGAATGTATCAAGGATGACATTGCCAGGGTAGGGAAACCTTCTACCCTTTCGGAACTTCGCACCCTTTCACAGACCTTCGATGCATGCTATTGGGAGCATAAAACTGAAGTAACTCATCATGCGAAACCCTCCAATGTCTTTGACAAGACCACTACCGCTTCTCGCTCTGACCCCGTCCCTTCCTCCTCCTCGTTCAACTCCGCTTCTGGTAGCAAGCCTCCGAAGGACAACAAAAAGTCTGAGGCCAGCTCTGCT